CGGTCGCCAACAACCTGTACCGCCCGTCGCGCGCCGCCCGCGACGAAGACACGTACGACGACGACATGGACGCCCTCACGAAGACCTCGCGCTTCGCGCCCGACAAGGAGTTCGCGGGAACCGACCGGTCAGCCAAACGCGACGGTCCCGTTCAGTTCGAGCGCCAGGAGGAGGAGGATCCGTTCGGTTTGGATAAGTTCTTGACGGAAGTGAAGAAGTCGAGTAAACGCGCCGAACAGCCGACGAACGCCGACTCGAGAGGCGCTTCCAAACGACGCAAAGACTGAACTCTTTTTCATTTCACAATAAAATCCATTTCAATAAGTTTTGCATAATTTGTGTTTATTTTCATTCAATTATCAGTGAAATGGTATTAAACACGACAATAGATAAGCCCTTCGTTTTCGGTCTACATTCAGACCCCTTCTTCTGATGTCTAATTTGTGTCAATAATAACACAAAGTTTTACATAATTTCTATCGTTTTCTCCGACTCTTTGGCGCCATCTGTCGCCCAATACTTGTCTCGTTGTTTGTGTCGTTACAAATGAAAGACAAATGCCTTCAGGAGAGAGAGAGCTCTGAAAGTGTGCTCTCTTTGCCCCTCCAATCACTCTGCACTGCAGTGCACACAAGCGATGCACTGAAAAAGCGTTCGCAAAGCACAACACAACACATGGCGAGTGAGTCATTGCGCGCTCTCTTGTGTCCACGCATTCAATGACCGCTTTTCCTGTCTTCAGATTACTACCAATCGGTGCGCCGGACACGAGTTCCCCACGAGCGGCGGCTGTGGTCCGTCCTGTGGACCCAATACGCGCCGACGGCCTTCGAGCTCGACTTCACGGGCAAGAGTTGGGCGGATCCGCCTCTCGTCGGGTACTTTCCTCTCGTCTGTCGTGTCTATCGCTGTCTCTGACTCTTGTCCCGCAGTTGTCCGCACTTTGAGCCCAAATGGAACCAATTGGACGGCGCGGTCGACCGCCGCAGTCATCACAGCCACTACGAGGTCAGAGACGGCTTTCCCATTAACCCTTTGGGCAGAACTGGACTCCGACTGCGCGGACGTCTCGGCCGTTGGGGTCCGAACCACGCGGCCGACGCCATCGTCGCGCGGTATATATATATAAGTGTTGTCTCTGTCGTTGACTCTGTTGTCTCTTTTGAGCGCAGATGGAAGCAAAGCGAAGGGCGAGCAGTGATGGAGTGCGACAAACCTGTGCTTCAGTTTGTGGCCGTTCAGCGCCGAGATTGCGGCCAATGGGCGATACCTGGCGTACGACACGTGACACACACGCAGAGCAGAGACTAACACTCGGTTTAATGTGTTTTGAAGGGAATGGTCGACGCGGGAGAGACGACAGACGCCGCGATGCGACGCGAGTTCGCGGAGGAGGCGCTGGCCGGCCAGTCGGTGGCGGAGGCGACGCGCGTGATGGGCGGGGAGGGCCGGGAGGTGTTCAGAGGGTGTGTAGCGGACGACCCGCGAAACACAGACAACGCGTGGATGGAGACTGTGGTGAAGGTGTTTGTGGTGCGCGAGGAGGAGGCGGCGGGCATCGCTCTGCGCGCGGGTGACGACGCCGTCGGCGTGCAGTGGTGTGACGTCAGTGACCGACTCGAGATGTACGCCAATCACAAGCAGTTTATTGAGATGACGGCCCGTCTATTGGGCGCATATTTTTGAATAAAGAGAACTATTTTTTTCACGAATACTATCGATAGAGAGATATTTATTGGAGAATCAGTTTCGCGGAAATGTCTGAGCGTTGCGAACGCCTTCCAACTTCTCGAAGTGCTATTCGATTGAAAGGCATACAAATTATTGACGTTTACTGTTATGTAGACTTCACTACCTTTCGACTGTTCCTAATGTTAATCTTCGTCGCCTCCGAAGCTGTTGAGCGAAGAGATTAGTGGAGTTCGCGAAGAGGGGGAAAAGTACTCACGAATGGATGCGTCGGACATAATGACCATTACGTAGGTGTTGGGCGTGAAGACGTCGATGAAAGCGGCGAAGTTCTGGTTCTTGACTTCCATGGAGTGGAACTGAGCGGCGAGTTTGGAGCAGGACAGCTTGAACTGCTTGATTATGTTCGACACCTTCTCGAAGCGCTAAGGACGAGACGGGGGTTAGAGGGGGCGGGCGGCGAGAGAGGTGCTCACGTGGACGTCGCGGTGGGGTTTGCGCTGCGAGTAGGAGATGACGAGAAAGGTGGCCCTTTCGAAGAGCAGCACTTCGTCGGCGTCAATGATTTCGGCGAAATGTCGCAAATGTTTCTCCAATTCGTGAACATTAGGAATGAGAGAGTAGACGATCGTTGACCACGCCTTGTACAGGGTTTCGTCCCAAATCGAGGTCCGGAAACACGTGCAGTCCAACGGCCGCGACAACCGCTTCAGGTCCGTCTCGCGCTCCTTGAAGATCTGCGGCGAGAGAGGCGTTAGTGAGTGGGTGTGGGGGAGGGGAGGGGGGCACAGACGAGTTCGCGCTGGTCCTCCTGCACGAGATCCATCTTATGGATGAGACAGAAGATCTTGGTTTCGGGCGAGAACTGGAGGATGGCCTCCAGACACGACTGGTAGTAATGCATGTCTTTCTCGAGTTCGCGCGACTCGACGTCAAAGACATAGATCAAGACCTCGACGTTTCGGAAGATATTCTGCGGACGAGAGAGTGTTAGTTGTGGCCGAATGTCGAAAGACACGAACCTCGCGCTGAGCGGCGAAGTAGTTCTCCATAAAGGCTTCCTTCGGGGAGAGAGAGAGTTAGAGAGAGGCGACGCTGAAGACATCATAAGACATACCTGTCCGCCGCAGTCCCACAGATTGAGCACAAGATTGCCTGAAAAGAGCGACGAATGAGAGCCGCGACAGAAGAGGACGAGCGAGACTTACCTAAGAAGCGGACGTGAGAGTGCTCGACATCGACTGCAACAGAGAGTGAAGGCGTGAGAGTGAGAGGAATGGGAGGAATGGGAGGAATGGGAGGAAAGGCACTTTACTTGTGGCGCCGAGTCTTCGCGTGTCTCTGGCGATGTAATTGGCGAATATGATGGACCGCATACTCGTCTTTCCCGAACCACTCTTTCCCATGAGAAGCACCTGAAGGACAGACAGAGAGAGAGACAGTGAGAAGCGGAGATCGCGAGCTCCAGAAGCGGACCTTTTTCTTCATTTTGATGTCTTTTAAACGACGACACAAACAACGAGACAAGTATTGGGCGACAGATGGCGCCAAAGAGTCGGAGAAAACGATAGAAATTATGTAAAACTTTGTGTTATTATTGACACAAATTAGACATCAGAAGAAGGGGTCTGAAAGTAGACCGAAAACGAAGGGCTTATCGATTGTCTTATGTTTAATACCATTTCACTGATAATTAAATGAAAATAAACACAAATTATGCAAAACTTATTGAAATGGATTTTATTGTGAAATGAAAAAGAGTTCAGTCTTTGCGTCGTTTGGAAGCGCCTCTCGAGTCAGCTGTCGTCGGCTGTTCGGCGCGTTTGCTCGACTTCTTCACTTCCGTCAAGAACTTATCCAAACCGAACGGATCCTCCTCCTCCTGGCGCTCGAACTGAACGGGACCGTCGCGTTTGGCCGATCGGTCGGTTCCCGCGAACTCCTTGTCGGGCGCGAAGCGCGAGGTCTTCGTGAGGGCGTCCATGTCGTCGTCGTACGTGTCTTCGTCGCGGGCGGCGCGCGACGGGCGGTACAGGTTGTTGGCGACCGCCTGAGCGCTGCGCCAGGGCTTGTCGTAAACGGTGTAGTCGTCGTCGTCGTGGAAACCGGACGCCAAGCCTTTGCTTTGGTTGAAGAGGCGTTCGTCGAACTGGACGTCAGACGACGCGCGCGGATTCGCCACTCCGAGCGCAATCTGCTCCGAGACGTCGCGCTCTCGTTGGCGCTCCAGACGCGACCGCTTTTCGGGGGCTGCTCTCTGGATGTTGCGTTCGCGCTGACGCTCTTTGTGGCGCTCGTGACGGATGTGTTCGCGTTCGCGCGCCTCCTCGTCGGGCGACGCCTCCCGAATGCCGGCCCTTTCTTCGCGCGCCTTTTGCGCCAACGCCCGCAAGTGGTCCTCTTTGCGCTCCTTCTCCTTCTGCGCGATCTTGCGCTCCATCTGCGCGCGCGTCTCCACCGCCTCTCTCGCCTTCCTGTCCGCCACATACAGCGCTTCTGAGAGTTTCGCGAAATTCTCGTTTATGTGGATCTGTTGAAGACCGCGTCCGTCGGCCGCCAACCGCTTGTCCAGAGGAATGGTGTATCCCTTGGCGTTCTTCCAGTTGGAAATACACGGAGGAATGCGCCACTCCTGCTGCTCGCGCACCGACACCTTTCGCGTCGGCGAATGCATGACAGGAGGCGGCGGAGAGGGCGGCGCCTGCGGCACCTTCTTGTTGATCTTGAATCGCGGCGGTTCCAGCGGATCCTTCTGCACTTCGACCATTCGAATGATGCGCTGATCGGCGCCGGAGTTGAACTCCTGAGAGGACTGGGAGGCCGTGTAGCGGATGTACTGCGCAGGCGCCGTCTTCTCGGCTGCGCGCACCGGAAGGGCGGCCGCGATCTTCGTCTGCGTCAGGCGTTGGAGAGCGAGTCGCGTCTCCTCCGTCTTGTCGTGGATCTGCTGGTCGTCGGGCTTCTGGAGCGCGTCTTCGTCCACCATTTCCTGCGGCAACAGATCCTGAAGCCGATGGTAAACCACTTTGTCTTTGGCGGCGTTCTGTCGCAAGAGGGCGTCGTAGCGGACGTCGCCGTTGGCGTCCAACTCGACGGCCAACGCGTTACTCGTCTGTCCGTCTGTGCGACCCATTCCTCNCGTCCACCGACCGGAAGGCGAGCACTGCGGCCACATTGGCGCACCCTATCGATGGAAGACATGAGTAGAGATACTGTAATAGAGATCGCACTCTCCTTACGGTAGCAATAGTTGGGCGCCGACCAAACCGTCACGAGCTTCTCGTCGAACATGTATTTGAAGCCTTCCTGAACCAATTGGTGCGCGCGACAGATCAGATCCAAATTGTTGAGAGCCATGAACTGCAATAAAGTACGTCTCAGTCCGAGTCACGTGTCCTCTCTCTCACCTCATGCGTGACGCGCGCGCCAAACAGCCAGCCTGCGCCCCGCGGACTCATGGCCCACGTGTCCACCTCCTCGGGGTCGGACCAGACGAGGTCGCAGAAGGCGCCCTTATATGGGATCTCCTGATTGCGCTCCAGAGTCTTGATTTGGTCCAAAGCGTTGATTTCGGGCGAGAGGCCTCCGTGGACGCACAGCACGCGCCCGTCGATCACCTGCGGGCGGGAGGGAGGCGTGAGGGCGGGTGTAGGGGTGTGAAGAACTCACGGCCGCGATGTTGAGGAGATCGAACACCTTCTGGCAGTACTTCCATGCGTTGGCGTTTCCGTACTTCGTCTGACACTCGTCTGCCGAGAGAGAGAGAGAGAGAGAGAGAGAGTCGTGAAAAGGGCCGAAAAAAGCGGAAGACTTGCCGTAAAAGCCGTAGATTTGAGTGATTTGTCGGCTCTCGTGGTTTCCGCGCAAAAGCGTGATTTTGTTGGGAAAGCGCGCCTTCAATGTCAACAATCGCGTCAACGTTTCCAACGAATAGTACCCGCGGTCCACGAAATCGCCCTAAAAATGGCGCCCAAAGAGTGAGAGGACGAGGAATG